AAGCGGAAGAGCATAATATAATACAAAAATATTTATATTATTTTAGATATTTGAATCATACTAATGATGTACTCTAAATTCTGAATGCATTTTGAAAGAATAATATTCATGTTTAAGCGACTGNCTGAGGTTTATACGACTTATTTAAGTATTACATTGCACATTTTATGTAAAAATTATTATAAAAAATGTGATTGTTATGAAATAATACAAATGACATAAACATAAAAAGTGACACATAAAAATAAAGATATAATGTAGATATATGGTACTCACATCGTTCAACTTCTTATAGAATGATACATCTGTGTAGACGGAATCAACTGGGCGTTCATATACATAAACTCGAGCCATTTTCCCTCTGTGAAAACATATTCACATAAAAGAAAGTTCTGAGGTGCAAAGAAGAAGAGTTTAACACATTATGCTATCATTTAACTGTACTGTAACTCAAATAATATTAAAGAACATGTCGTGGCTACTACTTCCAAGTTTTATTAAACAATAATTAAAACAACTAACTGGAATAGTCATTATAAATAATTACACAAATTTTAATGTATTAATTCAAATCATTATGCAGTATAATAATCCAGAATTATCACTCAAACAATTGAACACTTTATGATAACAAAATGAGCACGGCGATGTCTATAGGTTAGAATACAACAGATAGGCAAAAATTTATAATTTCTATATGCAGTAATTAAAAAATACCATTAAAATACGTACAATGCAAAATGGGATGGCACGTGACTAGACAATCACCTTGGCAACTCTGAAGTCAAAATGACGAACTTGTGTACTGGACATACCTTTTGTACACGTCCACGTTTATCTACCAAGTATTCCAGTTGGAATGAGTGAAAACGAGAGAGCGAGTAAAGAGTAGGGGTCGTTCCCTTTCTACTTCCCACTCTCGCTTCCTCACTCTCCCTCCATAAGGACTATGTACCAATGCTAAGGAACGCTTTCTAGCGGACCCTGAAAAGGGCCCTCGAATGATACCCGAAATAAATAAAATTCAAAATTTCAGTAGGGAAAGATGTTGATATCCAGCAATAGTTGGAATTAAAACAAATTACTTTTGCAAGAGATATTGTAAAAGACAGAACATAAGAGATACCCTATGCAATAGATGAAATAACAGAGGAAAATAATATAGGGATGCTTCGACTGTCTCTCTATCACTGCGAATCAAATTCGTTCGAGATGATTTTGATTCAAATGAAAAATTATATTATCACTTATAATACAACATTTTTTAATTTATAAATGGAAGAAGGTTACTTCTCGAGTCACTCAAAAATGTTACGGTTGAAAACTGGAGAAAATGTGTGGAACATGTTATCAGAATTATTGAAGACAAATTTTGGTAACTGGATCACAATATGAATATTGCACAGAATCATTTATAATTAATTTAAATTTTGTCAATTCAAGCACGAAGTTTGAATAAATTGTATATGTGTAACAAAATCAATGTACACATACACAATAAAATTGTAGAAATTAAATGTAGAAATATAGGTTTCCATATCTTAATTTGTATTTCCATTTTCCTTCTTATTTACATTATTATATAATAATATTAATAATACTTAATTAACAATACAACATTAATGTGGAGGCTAAATAATTTTTGGTCTACAGAAAATTACTAGCTTCTTCCCTAGTAAGTAGGGCTCCCGAAACTACGATTCGGCCCTAGTGTGCTCGCGTGCTAGTGTTCATATTTCCTGCCAATTCTCGGGAAACGCAGTGGACCTAATGGTCAATAAATAAGTATGCGGAGTTGTTTTAAAAGACAGAAGGGGAATAGAGGTCGTCGGCTATTTTCTATCGTCAACAAGTGCTGCACTCTACAGTTCAGTTTTAGATATATTAAAGCTTAAACTTAAGGGCGAGTGTCCATCTAAGAATAAAACTCTCAACGGTTGCTCTACAGTCTCGTATCTGCGGGACCTGGCAAGCTCCTCCCCTTCCGCGTCTTGTCTAGCTGTGCTGCGAAGTCTCGAGGCTCGAGTCGTACGTAGTGCGGCCACTGCCAGACAGTTACTCTCATAATACGATTCGGTTTTGTAGTATAAGAGTTACTAGACATGACACGGACTGTCGAGAGTTTTACTCTTAGATAGACACCTGCTATAACCAATAACCAATAGGTCGCTTTCGTTTTTATATAAATGTTTTAACAATTTATTTGTTTTTACTTTTGTTACGTTACAGATGAGATTCATGCGGTCTATACGAAAACGTCGAACTGTGTCGGTGTTTAAAATTCCAATAGAAATACCTAGACGGACCGATGCAATATTTGTAAAAAATAAGCGATTATATACAGTGGCCCATAAAAGTTTTCATACACTTTTTAAAACTAGATTAAATGACTTGAATTTTTTAGATGATAGAGAGGGACTAGTCTACTAAAGAATAACTAAAATGCTTTTTTTTAATTTCACATTACATTATAGTAAATTCCTCCTAATTGACGCTCAGCTTGGACACAAAAATTGACAATTTGGCTCGTTTTTATAGTTGTTGACACTGGATAACTATAAAAACGAGCCGCAAGGCTCGAATAATTGTACCTTCTGTTCTCAAATTGTCCATTTTTGCTTTCAAGCTGAGCGTCGATTAGGGAGAGTTTACTGTACTTGGAACGACAAAAACGAATATAAAAGTCTCGAGTTTTAACGTCTTTATCTGAGCCTATAATGAAAATTTAGAAAACATCTTTCGTAGATCTCGGTAATTATATGCATGCTGAAAATTTTATCGAAATCGGTTGACCTTGTTATGAGCTACAACAAATTAAATGTCTCAAAATCGCAGTTTTGTTACGACTTTTGACCAAAAACTGCAAGAAATCTGCAGTTTTTTAAATCTTTCAATGCTTGTAGCTTGACTCTGGGTTAGAGTCAAGCTCATCATTTTGAACAATTTTTTCCTATTCATGTCACTCACTTTTAGTTTCCGAGATATTCGTGAAAACATATTTCGTACAGTGGACGAAATTTGTATAGGGACGCTATGATTTACTGAAAAAAATTACAAGTTTAAAATTTAAGAATTTTAGTTTAAGATTTAAGATTTAAGATATAAGAATATTTACCGAGGTAGGTACAAAAGTATAAGGACAGTAACATTTACTGAGTACAGAAGCATCATGGATATGAGAAACATCTTCCGTAATTCAGAGAATGTAAGTATTAGGAATGCTTAATATTTTATTTCACAAATTATTCAAAACAATTCCTCTTCTATTAGAATGCCACGAGAAAAAGTTCATAATTTTTTAAAACTTGGTGGACACTATGGCAAAAACCATGCAGGTAATAATAATAAGCTCACGAGGCGCGTGATCATTTACGAATTTTTCGCGAAATAAATATTGGGATTAAAAGTTCTAGAGAAGTAAAAAAGACTTTAGACTTACCAGTGACGAGGAATTTTAATTATATTTTCTGACGAGGAAAAATTTAATTTAGATGGTTCTGATAGATATAAATATTATTAGCACACAACCTGCCGTACTGATACAAGAGTGGCCATGAGCAGGAATTCTGACGGAGGAAGTTTAATGTTGTAAGTTGCGTTGATGTTAAAATTTGCACCAGATTGAACGCAGATAAATATATAAATTGATTAGAACATTGTTTAATCTTGAAAATTATGAAAATATAATTTTTCAGCGAGATAACGCTGCAGTACACAGTGCTAAAAAACAAAAGAATGGTTTCGTCAAAAAGATTTGTCACTTATGACGTTCGCCGGTCTTGAAGCCTATAGAAAATCTATGGGGGATTTTATCAAGAGCGATATATAAAAATAATAAGCAATGTAGTAACGTTAAAGAGTTTGAAACCGTTGTAAGGCAAGAATTGGATAAAATTAATGTTACGACATTGCAAAAATTTAGTTTGCAGTATAGAGAAGGAGAGAGAGAGCGAGAGAGAGAGAGACAGAAAGAGAGAGAGAGAGACTTACAAATAAGATTCTTAATCTTGTCGTAATAAGGAAATATCTCCTTTTGATTTATTTTTTACCAACAAATTATCGTCCACATAACACGTACAAGGAACAGGCACCATTCCTTGTCTACGCTGACTTGGAATGCATGCTAGAGAGATAGGAAGATCAAGGTCATGGAGTATGCCACAGGTATGAACATTACAGAACAATTCCTTGTGCGAGTATTAAGGCTTATTGCGACGATAAATATTGTACCGTATGGTTCGCAACAAAGTTGTTCGAGTTAAAGCCGTAAATTGCAGCCGCTGTTCGATAGAACGGTGCCGATGACTTCGATGACATTCGATGATCACGATGTAAGAGTGCGCGATCATTTACCGGTTTTTTACAACTTGTACAACTACGACGCATACATTATCATTAAAGACAGCAAACACGTTCAAGAGTATAATAGTCGTGTTGCCTCTGATCAAAAGGAAGTATATTTCTGTCACGAAACATACCTAGAACGTGGACAAACCATGGAAGAAATATATACAGTTTTAATTTATCGACTCGCTCAAATTTCTGAATTTGAGTCTGGACAAGTTGTCGTCGTATCTGGACAAGAGCGATTTGCGTATCGTGAGGGGTCAATTCGGACATCTTTCCAACAATGATTTTCATCTTTTAACCAGGAAAGGAAATATATATAACAACCTACGATAAATTAAGCAATACCTGTTTACCGCCGCGCGAAGTGTTTTATAACGAGTTATATTATAGTGAGATATCCGACGCCGATTATCACCACGCGAGCGAAGTTGGGTCGCATTTATTAGGACACAAACATTAGGACAATACAGTGATTTGTACTTGCAATTCGATACATATATCATTGTTATCTGACGTGTTTAAAAAGTTTCCTAAAGATTCGCTTGAGAATTACAAATTTAATCCAGTGTATTATTACACTCTTTCAAGTTTCGCGTGGGACGTGATGCTAAAAATGGCGAAGATCGAGTTAGAATTGCTCACCGACGTGAATATAATTTTGTTTGTGGAGCAGGGAATACGGGGCGAATTAAGCCAATATTTGCATCGCTACGCGCGCGCAAATAACAAGTATCTACTGACGTACGATTCGAATCAACCTTCCACGTATCTGATGTACTTCGATATTAATAATTTGTATAGTTGTGTTATGTGTCGCAATTTTAGCCGCGCAGAAGTTTCCGATGAGTCAACGATACAAACATATCAAAATTACACTTGTACGATTTCCATTACGGTTGTATGTTCCCAAATTTCCAAGACAGATGCAGGATTTTGTACACGGACAGTTTAATTTACTAGATCGCTAGCGACGACGTGATAAATCGCGACATTTTTCGATACGATACTAGCAATTATAACGAAAACAACGTGTGCGGTGTTCCAAACAAAATGATCGGATTAATGAAGGATGAGAATGGAGGTAAAATTGTGACCGAGTTCGTGGGTCTTCGCTTGAAAATGTATGCCACACGAGTGCTCGGCAAAGACGAGATAAAAAAGATAAAAGGAATTAAAACGAACGTCGCGGCTAAAGGCATAAGTTTCGACAACTATTGAGAATGTCTTTACAATCCTGCGAAAAAGTCAGTTAACAATAAATCAATAATGTCTGTACAGCATCGAGTGTATTCAGTATCGCAGATGAAATTAACATTCAGTCTGCACGATGATGAATGCTATATTTCCAGTAATTTAATTTACAACCTTTCTTGGGGGCATTATGATATCGCCGAGGAAATGCAGAAATATTTAGAACGACACAGAACTAAATAATCTCGGGAAATTATTTATGCGAATGTAATCTTTTTATCATCAACTTCACACACAACTTCAGATTGATCATGTTTACATCGATTGTAC